GGAGGTGAGTCTTGGGAATTCAAGCCATGGCAAGGCTCTTGACCCTCGGTTTCTGTCTGAAAAAAACCACCACCCAGCCAACAGTGGGGAGCCGCATAGCAGAACCCTGTGCTTTGTCAGGTGCCTGACAACTCAGACACTGTGCCCTCTCACACACTCTTAACTCTCCCTGTTGGACTGCTTCACCTGCCCCCTCCCCCCCCACCCCCCGACCTCCCACAGTTCTTTGTTATTCTTTGTTCCTCTGGCCCAGAGGAAAATGCCTGCTACCTCCACCTTTCTCCCTTCTCCTAGCCAGCTGAGCCAGGAGCTCAGGAGCTCCCTACAGGGCTGTGTCTGCAGGCCTTCTGCACTTTCCTCCCTGCTGGTTTTCTCGTTTCTTCCAGATGCCCACCTTTATGTGCTTCAGTGTGCGGGTCTCAGGCATGCATCTATGTTAAGCAGGGATTTCTATGTTGAATTATAGATGGTTAACTTGTTGAAATATCTGGGGCAGAGGAAAAGTTGCTCCCTTACACCACCATTCCTCTGATATCACTGCATTCTTTGTTTACCATGTGGCTATGCATAGGGAATAAATTTAAGTATAAATTGTGTGATACCAATTTATCTTTTTTTCCCCCCATTGCCTAACATGATCAGCTGTCTTCATCCAATATCTTGCTATTAAACCATGGTGGTGGCAAATGTAGCTCCAAATAAAGAACTTCCCAGTTTTTCATGTTCTTTTATATCTTTTATCCCTGAGTAAATACTTAAGTGGCTGGTCCCCAATTATAAGAAAATGTTCTCCCAAAATTCAATTGCTCTTGTATTTCGATTCTCTCTCCTTTGTTTTTGTCCTGTGTGTTTATAAAACTATGTGGTGGGTGGTAGAAAGTGGTTCTTTCTCACAAACAGGACTTTTCATCTCTAATCAAGTTAGTCAATGAAGTTTCCCAGGATTACTTTAAGGAGTATTATGATGCTATTTTAGAAATTGGAATTTCTAGTTGGCCATGATTTAATTCATTGCTTGTATTCATTTCTGGTTTCCTTAGGAGATTATCGCCATTGTTTAGTTTCAGCATATATTTAGGTTTCTGTAAGTCAAATATTTTGTCTATTTTGTCTATTATGTCAAGTGTCAGCAGGTAAGAGAAGAGGGAAGGGTGTTGGCACTTGGTCACAATGCTTCCATTTCTCTAGGTTTGGGGTATTCTCTTTTGTTGATGAAATTATTCAGAAAAACTTTCAAATCTTCCTTAACACCCTTTCTTAGTATTTAATATTTATCTTTATAATAAGTCTTTGTAAATATTCTTTGTAAAATAATCTACTTTCACCTGTATTTTTTACATATATATATTTTTCTACATATTTCACTATTGTTTTTCTAGTCCTAGTCATAATGAAATAATATCATTTATTTGAATCATTTTTTTTTGTTTGATAAAATCACATATTTTTAACAGTTCTCATTTCCCAATACTAACATTAAAATAAGTTCTAGAATAGGTATTTAGTAATGTCTTTTGAGTGAAATTAATACATTTTAAAGTCATCATATAAAGAAACAATTATTGTATAACAGATGTTATTTTCCAATCACATGCTTAATATTTGACAAAATTTAATGAGAATGTATTGCTTATATATCTCACATTTGATTAGGGTCTTGTTATAGGGTTTTGGGAATGTGTTGCCTTTGCTTATTTTTTTTTAAATCTTTATTGTTGAAAGTATTACAGATGTCCCTTTTTTTCCCCGTTGACCCCTTCTATCCCGCACCCACCCCCTGCCCTAGGCCTTCACCACACTATTGTCTGTTTCCATGGGTTAGGAATAAATAAGTTCTTTTGTCTCTTCCCTCCCACCCACCCACTCTTGCTTCCCTCTGAGATTCAACAGCCTGTTCCATGCTTCTGTGTCTCTGGATCTATTTTGTTCATCAGTTTATTCTATTCTTTAGATTCCATATATGAGTGAGATCATGTGATACTTGTCTTTCTCTGACTGGCTTATTTCACTTAGCCATGCTGTCTTAAAGGGTAAGAGATCCATCTTTTTTACTGCTGCATAGTATTCCATGGTTTAAATGTACACGATGGCTTTTGCTTGTTTATTAAGAATTCACTAGAAAAGGGTTTTGGAACATGATCTTCACTTGTAAAATTATTGACATTGAGAATAGACAATGTCCTTTTGTTCCTATGTAAAAACTTTATTTTGTTTAAATATTAATAATCTGATTTTCTGTGAAATGCAATGATAATTTAATTCATTTTGTGGTAACGAGCTAAACATATTGATTATTATGCTATGATAATCAGCAGAACAATGTACTTATTACCTAATATGTTTTATTAATAATTACACATGGACTCCCAGCTTATCCAAAACATAATATAGAAGCATAACATTAAGCAGTTCCAAAATATGTTTGAAATGTGGCTATTTGAGGAGGGATATCTAAACTACTCAATGGATATTTGTGAGAGAATTAAAATTTATTCTGTTTTCTATTCTAATGTTTACTTTACTAAAAAGAATTGACAAAATCTGACTGTAAATCTGGAAATGTGTAAAAGAATCTGATAATTTTTTTCACATCATATGATTATATTATCTACTATAGTGAGGGGATTATGCAACTGATAAACTAAGCACTTCTGTGAAAGCCAGAAAATTAAAATGAAATTCATGCTTCAGAACTTTCCTACCCATATGCATTTAATATAGTAAAAAAGGGGGGCTTGTAAATATGCGTTTTTATATCATTCTTTCTAACATTGCTAAATTTACCATTATTTAAAGCATTTCAGTGGTTAAAAATGCTTGAAAATCTATGACACTGAAATAGAAAAAAAGTGATGTTTAATGTTAAAAATTCATATTTAAACAACTAATAAATAATGAAATAATATCATTTATTTGAATCATCAGAATAAATTTTAATTCTCTCACAAATATCCATTGAGTAGTTTAGATATCCCTCCTCAACCAACCAACTAATTTTAATTCTATAAGGTATTTAATTTTAATTCTATAAGGTATTTAATTTTATTTTAATCTCAAGAATATTTTATAAAAGAAAAAAAAGAATGTTACTCAGAGCTACCACCACTGTTTCAATTTCCCCATCACCTTCTAGACTTCTACTTAGACACATGCATATTTGTAAATGTTTCTTTACATGTTCTTATATCTGAGTTTCAGATTCTTTTCCATGATGTTGATATAGCTGAGTTCTTTATTGTTATTTCCATTAGTTGTACAGCTATCATTTTTCATTACAAAAATTTTTGTATTTTAATTTTCTACAAATTGATTTATGTAGTTCATATAGAAGTGAAAGTTCAGTAATCTAAAAATGATGTGAAGTGGTGCATTTAGATTTGTTTTTCATCTCTCTTCCACACTCTGCTTACATTAGCCATACCACTTATTACATGATTTGTGATTGCTATCACTTACTATATATTCCTTGTATACTGTATTGAGCCAAAAGTTGCCAGCTTCTTTCATATGCTTACATTCCCTGCTGTGCCTGAGACATAGTAGAAGTTAGTAAATATTTGATGTAGTACCCTTATGGCAATGGTTCTCAAGCTTCCTAATGCCATGACCCTTTAATACAGTTTCTCATGTTGTGGTGACCCCCAATTTCATTGTTACAAATTGAACATAATTAAGCATAGTTATTAATCACAAAAACAATATATAATTATATATGTGTTTTCTGATGGTCTTAGGTGACCCCTGTGAAAGGGTCGTTCAACCTCCTAAGGGGTCATGACCCACAGGTTGAGAACCGCTGCACTAGAGCTAAGTGAGCCTGGAGCAAGTTACTGTTGTGGGTGGGGGATGGAGGGAAAGCAAAGGTGAGAGACATAAGTAAAGTCAGAGTGTTGAGGAAAAAAATTAAAAAGATATCCTGCAACTTCTAGGAAATCTCCACCAATGGGAGCAAAGAAAAGAAAAAGACCTCTACTATTCTGTGAGCACAAAACCAAACTGGGTTGGGGTCTCAGACAATTTGCTCATATGATTGCAAAGACAGACAGAAACTCCTGGATTGGAGAGGGCTCCCCTGAGGGCTCCCAGATTGGAGAGGGTGCAAATCAGGCTGAGGACCCAACCCCTGTGCATGAATTTCATGCATAAGGCCCGTAGTAAAGAATGAAAAAAGAGAATTAAAAAAAATAAAACAACCTACAAAACAGTCCATGAGGTATAATAACATGAATTTATTTATTTATTGGAATACATAAACATTCATATAAATATTATGTGTGTGTATGTGTGTCTGTGTGTGTGTACTAGTAAGTTAATAGGGTGGTGCTGGGATTACAAATGATTTTTCTTTCTCTTTAAACAGATTTAGGTTCTAAATCATAAAATATTATATATATTATTTAAACTTAAAAGCACTTACTCTAAGCTGCTGAGTAAAAATTGAGAACTTTTTCCAATAAATTCTAAGAAAATAATCAGTTATATTATCTATATATATAAAATCCTAAGCGACCTTTAGGGAGGAATGACCGGAACAACTGGTCGCTATGACATGCACTGGGCAGGCAGACAGGCGAGTGGTTAGGAGTGAGTGGTTCTGGATTGCGAGAGGGATGTCTGACTGCCGGATGTCCAAATGCAGGGATCGAGCCTAAGCCGGCAGTCAGTCATCCCCCGAAGGGTCCCAGATTGTGAGAGGGCACAGGCCGGGCTGAAGGACCGCCCCCACCCCGGGTGCACAAATTTCCTTTCCGGGCCTCTAGTTTTTTCTATAAGAATTACAAGTATAGTTTATGATGTGAGATAAAGTCAAAAGTAGTTATATCAAAGAATAGAGCAGCACTTTTTATATTAGTCAGGATATAAATATGGCCAAAATATAGTAAACATTTCCATAACTTTCAGGTTTGAATAATGTATATCATTTGGGGGTAACTGATCCATCTTGTATATTGTACTTTCAAAAATTCAAACTAGCAAAGCTTCTCCTCTAACAGCCCAGATTAGAGGTGAAAGTTAACTCTACCTGCTTGTGACTCTTTGCTTCTGTGCAGTTGTTCCTCTATACCAGCTTCTCTATTAACATCTTCTACAGTCTCTTTCAGAAGCAACATCTCTTTTGTCTTCCATTCCTGGAGAGCACAGTGTTACTGTGATTAGTGTTTACAGTAACCCCTTGTATTTTGTCCACCACCAACAAGCAAATTAGTACAAGCTAAGAACCTAACAGAAATCAGGTCAATTGTAGGGAAAGTCAAACATTGGCTTTCCTTCCTACACTCCTACTAGGAATGCAGGCATGGTTATTTATGGCATGGTTATTTTTCACTAAAGCTAAAATTAAAGAGGTATCCCCCTCACACTGAGGGCAGTCAGGGAGTTAAATGGTGTCTAATAACTTCCACAATCATCTCTTTAAGAGCAGATATTGGCTCATATAACTAGATTGTGGTGTCAGCCTTATTATTTTAGGTAACAGCTTGTATATCATAGCTCTGAAGAAAGATTAACATGGGTAAATTATTTAGATCTGAAATGACTTCTAAGAAGTATGAAAAAGAGTATGTATCATATATGTATATATCTGTATGTGTGTGTGTATATACATATAAATAATGTTTTTTAAATTTACAGAAATAAAACTATCCTTTGATATGCCTTTTTATATTTAGTGTTTAGTAAAATTCCTGTACTTTCTAAACAACTAATTATGTTAAAATTATTTATGAATAAAACACTGCACACAATATTCCTCTTTATATTTTAAATATATCTCTCACCTCTTCAAATTTTCTAAGAAGGTTAAGTTTTCTTCTTGTTTGTTCCCACTGTCGTTTTTCTTCTCTTTCCATCCAGAGGGGGCGCTGCTCTTCTGCTGTGCGCTCATGGTGGTCTAATTTCCTACTTATCATATCCAAATATCTAAATAAAGAGCAAATGCTAGTGAAGGTGTATTGCATCTTGCCATTCTAGTGTCATCAGCTGCTTTGAAATGCCCAGACCACCTCCTTGCTCAAGTTTTACTTCTTGAACTACAGGAATTTTACAGGTTTTTTTTTCAGCTCTCTTCAAGGATTTGTAAGCCAGCTCTCACCATGCTTGGTCATACAGATATCCTACGGTGTCAGTATCTGTTCTTATGGCCAAGACTGTTGTAAAATGTGGAGCAAGTTCTTTCAAAACATTTTGCACAGCTCTGGCCAGTTTGTCTCAGTGGATAGAGCATTGGCCTGAGGACTGAAGGGTCATGAATTTGATTACAGTCAAGGGCTCATACCTTGGTTGCAGGTTCAGTCCCTGGTCCTGGTTGGGGTGAGTGGGGGAGGCAACCAATCAATGTCTCTCTCACATTGATCTCTCTCTCTCAGTCTCTCCCGCTTCCTTCTACTCTCTGAAAATCAATGGAGAAAACATCCCTGGTTGAGGATTAACAAAACAAAAAAACAAACAAAAAAACTGTTTTGCACAGTAATTATTCATAACTCAGTGGGTTTAGGGATATGAAGTTGCAAAGAAGGCTGGAATAAGTGAAAATTGATTTCAAATCTAGAACAACCACCAGATTTGAATTTTCTAAGAAAAGGATGTATCCTGGCTCCCTGTGACTTACAGAGCCTTTAACAAATCTTCCATCTATAGTCCCAGTCTCTGGTATGTCTATATGCTTATGGAACTACCAAAAAAATGGGCCCACAGAATATAAGTCAGGCTGTGCAGCCCAATCACTCACCTTGATGAAGGAGGAAAGGAGAAAAAACTATGATATCCCTTCATTTCCTAAGATATGTGCTTGACCACAGAATGGTAATCACTGAACATGAGCAGGTAATATCTGAAAAACTTACATTTTTTTCTTTTAGGGACAATGCATCTCTATATTGGCATTAGATATAATCAATCTCCATTTCTGACTTTGTATGAACTTCCTCAAATTTAATGCTGTCAGCCCTTTAAAATGAATCATAAAAACCTACTCCTAGAGGCCTGTGTTAAAAGATTCCTTCCCTCCCTTTACAACAGTGGTTCTCAACCTTGGCTACACATTAGAATGACCTGGGAATCTTTTTAAAATCCTGATTTCTGGGCCTCATCTTCCAGAAATCTGTTTCTTTGTTATGGGGTGGGGCCACAACATTAGTAACAAAGAAACAGAATTTCTGGAGGATGAGGCCCAGAAATCAGGATTTTAAAAAGATTCCCAGGTGATTCTAATGTGCAGCCAAGGTTGGGAACCACTGCTTTACAACTACAGGACGGAATTTGGATCTGATTCACCCTTTAGTTATCAGTTTGGATTACCTCTTGGACTCCCAGAAACACTGTCATCTCTGGTGGAAGTTGCTCTTCATTCCTTTGGCATCCAAGTTCCCAATTTCTGTACCTCTTGGTCTCCCATCCTCTCTATACTGGGGGCAGGAGTGGAGTTAAAGAGTACCCAGTATGTTAAATAATTCCTAACTCCAAATCTTTCTAGTACTTTCCCAACTTATTTGAGTCTACAATCTATACATAAAATATGCAGTCACTTCCATCTTACCTGGGCCTTATTAGTGGCTCCTGGTCCTTAAAAGATTGAATGTTTTCCCATAAAAACCAATTTTGGAACTGTGCACCACCAGAAAGTCTAAGTAGTTGATAGTTGTCTTGAAATTTATTTATTTGTTTTGCAAGCATTTCCTATTTTTTAAAAAAGTGTGTATCATATATTGCACATATATGTATGTGAATGTATACATATGTATATATAATGTTTTAAAAATTTACAGAAATAAAACCGTCCTTTGATATGTCTTTTTTATTTACTGTTTAGTAAACTTCCTGTATTTTCTAAATAACTAAGTCTGTTTAACTTTATTTAAATCTATTTTGAACCCATTACAGACCTGTTTAACTGAACCAAATTAAAATTTCTGTCTGAAAATGAAAACTAAATATCTCACCATATATTTCCATCCATTCTGAAAAAATGAAATGAAAACATAGAAGAAGGGTAGGACAAGCTCTAGACACAGAGGGAGAAATTGGGGAAAATATAGAACACTTAAAGGTAAAGGTAACTTATTCTCATTTCTATACCACTCTCTCAACCATCTATACTAATAATAGAGGAATATGCAACCTGTCTGGGACTCCGTCACAGTAATAGTAACGACCGAACATCAGGCTAGCAGGCTGCGTGGGGCGACCTGGCCAACAGAAAGGGAAGTTGGGGGTGACCAGGCCAGCAGAGGGGACAGTAAGGCCATGGGGGGCAGTTAGGGGTGACCAGGCCAGTGGAGGGTGGCAGTTGGGGTGACATTGCCAACATGGGGGGCAGTAAGGGCCAACCTGGCCAGCAGGGGGACA